CGCACAATTCTTTGAGGCCCAGAGTAAGCCCACAGGGACCGTAACATGCTGCCCGCAGGCCCTCCGGCACAGCCCACATAGGCGCCAAGCGCGCCCACAGAGGTTCCCACGCGCTGCTCACAAATGCCACAGGCGCGCCCACAGAGGGCCCAGCGCGCTGCCCCCCGATACAGCCCACAGAGGCCCCAGCCCTCAGAGGCCCCAAGCGCGCCCACAGAGGCCCCAGCCCACAGAGGCCCCAAGCGCGCCCACAGAGGCCCCAGCGCGCTGCCCACTGAGGCCCCCGACGCAGCCCACTGAGGCCCCAGCCCCCCCCCCAAGCGTGCCCATGGAGGCCCGCCCCAGCGCGCTGCCCACTGAGGCCCCCCGCTCCTCAGAGGCCCCACGCGCGCCCACAGAGGCCCCAACCCGCAGAGGCCCCGAGCGCACCCACAGAGGCCCCCGCGCGCTGCCCACTGAGGCCCTACGGAGCAGCCCAGAGGTCCCAAGCGCGCCCACAAAGGCCCCAGCCCGCAGAGGCCCCAAGCGCGCTCACAGAGGCTGCCCACTGAGGCCCCCGACACAGCCCACAAAGGCCCCTAGCGTGCCCACGGAGGCCCCAGCGCGCTGCCCACTGAGGCCCCGACTCTTACACAGGCCCCACACGCGCCCACAGAGGCCCTTGCCTACAGAGGCGCCAGGCGCGCCGAGGCCCCCGCGCGCTGCCCACTGAGGCCCTCCGGCACAGCCCACCGAGGCCCCAAGCGCGCCCACAGAGGCCCCAGCCAACACAGGCCCCAGGCGCGCCCACAGAGGCCCCAGCCCACAGAGGCCCCAAGCGCGCCCACAGAACCACCAGCGCGCTGCCCACCCACAGAACCTCCAGCGCGCTGCCCACTGAGCCCCCCCGACCACTCCCACAAAAGCCCCAAGCGCGCCCTTCGAGGCCCCAGCCCACAGAGTCGTCAATCGAGCCCACGGAGGCACCCGCGCGCTGCCCACGAGTCCTCCAACACAGCCCACAAAGGCCCCACGCGCGCCCACAGAGGCCTTAGCCCGCAGAGGCCCCAAGCGCGCCCACAGAGGCCCCAGCGCGCTGCCCACTGAGGCTCCCGAGGCCCCAGCCCACAGAGGCCCCAAGCGCGCCCACAGAGGCCCCAGCGCACTGCCCACTGAGGCCCGCCGACGTAGCCCACAGAGGCCACGAAGGCGCCCACAGAGGCCCCAACCCGCAGAGGCCCCACGCGCGCCCGCAGAGGCCCCAGCGCGCTGCCCACTGAGGCCCCCCACGCACCCCACAGAGACCCCAAGCGCGCCCACAGAGGCCCCAGCCCACAGAGGCCCCACGCGCGCCCACAAAGGTCACAGCGCGCTGCCCACTGAGGTTCCCGACGCAGCCCACAGAGGCTCCAGCCCACAGAGGCCCCAAGCGCGCCCGCAGAGGCCCCCGCGCGCTGCCCACCGATGCCCCCCGACACAGCCCACAGAGGCCCCAAGGGCGCCCACAGGGGCCTCAGCCCGCAGAGGCCCCAGGCGCGCCCACAGAGGCCCCCGCTCGCTGCCCACTGAGGCCCGGCGACACAGCCCACAGAGACCCCACGCGCGCCCGCAGGGGCCCCAGCTCGCAGAGGCCCCAAGCGCGCCCACAGAGGCCCCGACGTGATGCCCACTGAGGCCCCCAACGCAGCCCACAGAGGCCCCAGCCCACAGAGGCCCCAAGCGCGCCCACAGAACTTCCAGCGCGCTGCCCACTGAGGCCCCAGCGCGCTGCCCACTGAGGCCCCCGACGCAGCCCACAAAGGCTCCAAGCGCGCCCACAAAGGCCCCAGCCCGCAGATGCCCCAACTGCGCCCGCAGAGGCCCCAGCGCGCTGCCCACTGAGGCCCCCGACGCAGCCCACAAAGGCCCCAAGCGCGCCCACAGAGGCCCCAGCCCGCAGAGGCCCCAGGCGCGCCCATAGAGGCCCCAGCGCGCTGCCCACTGAGGCCCCGCGCGCGGCCACAGAGGCTCCAGCCCACAGAGGCCCCAAGAGCGCCCGCAGAGGCCCCAGCGCGCTGGCCACCGATGCCCCCCGACACAGCCCACAGAGGCCCCAAGGGCGCCCACAGGGACCCCAGCCCGCAGAGGCCCCAGGCGCGCCCACGGAGGCCGCCGACACAGCCCACAGAGGCCCCAGCCCGCAGAGGCCCCAGCTCGCAGAACGGCACTCTCGCATGAGATTTCTTCGCAATCCAATCAAGTTAGCGGATTCCCTGCCGCGGCGACAAGGCTCCCGCTCGATATTTCCTCGCGATCTGGGGGGCCCTGGCCAGAGAGGTTCCCGAACTCAGACACGGCGCTCTCGCTGTGGACATCCTCGCAACTCAGTCAAATTAGTGGGGGCGCAGTCGCGATGACAAGGGATCCCGCTCGATGCTCTCTCGCGATTTGCTCTGAGCCCTCTCGCCTGGTCCATCCTTCTCTTCCCCCGTCCGTCCTCCCCTCCCCTGTTCTAGAGGCCGCGCTAAATGTGCGCGGCAGGTAAGGAAGATAGACCCCCGAGGGGGGACGGTCGAAGACAAAGAGGGCGGGTATCGAGGAATTGGGATAGACGTGTTGCATGGCACGCCAAAGCTGTCTTAAACTGATTGTTGTTGGCCTACTTCGTGTCCTTCGTGGCCCTGCTGTCGCTCTCTCTTTCGCTCGTCGTCGCCGTCGTCGTCGTCGTCTTCGCCGTCGTCGTCGACGTCGTCGTCGTCGTCGTCGTCGTGGTCGGTCCCCTGTCCGTCCCTCTTGGGGTCGGGTCGACGGTCCGCGGCCGCCCCGCCGATCAGCGCTGCCGCTGGCCAGGCCGCCGGTCCGCGGCCGCCCCGCCGCTTGCCCAGGCCCGGACTGCAGGGAAGAAAGGTAAACCCCCCAAAAAGGGTTCGATCGAAGACGAAGAGGGCGGGTATCGAGGGTTTGGGAAATACGCGTTATTGGACACTCGGGCAGGTAAGGTCGAACAGTCTTAAAATGATTGTTGTTGTTGTTGTTGTCGTTGTTGTTGTTCGCCCCGAGTTGTGTTCTGGCAGCCCCGTGTCCTGGATGAGCATTGGGAGGCCACAGAGTGCGGCATTGCTCAGGACCACTTTCGCTCAGGACCCCTTCTGCTTCATGGCAGTCCTCGGTCTCTGGAAGTCTCCGGAAGTCTCCCGCGCGCCTGCTGCGTGGTTCGAGATCCTGGCTTCCACCATTTAAACAAGAAAAACGCCATAAACATAAACTTTCGGCGCTCCGCGCGGATTTCTTGGATCTGGCCTGACCCCCCTAGTTTGGTAGCCGCGACGCGCGGGGGGAGTGCTGCGGGGTGGGGGGTGGGTGGGAGGGGGAGGGGGACGGGGAGGAGGAGGAGGAGGAGGAGGAGGAGGAGGAGGAGGAGGAGGAGGAGGAGGAGCAGTGTAAACCCAAGAGGCATCAACGATGTTGGAATAAACCCTCCCTCCAAGCTCCCTCTTCATAGGCCCCTACAACAGTTGATTTCAATTGATGGAACTGCCTCGTAGGAAGACGCCCGTTTGAAGACTCTGAAGCATGCCAAAACATCGTTCTCGGGATTCCAACGCGACTGATCAACCTGACTGTTGCGTCTTGACGGTCCTGAGTCTTGTCAGAACACCATTCCTGGGACTTCACAGCGCAGCGAATCAACGTAAGTCTTGGGCCCGCATAGTCCCGAACCCTTCCCAAACGCCATTTCTGGTACGTTGATGATGGGAACCGCGAAACTCTTGTACACTTTATTAACGAATATGCGTGGCGCTTAGGCGAGAACCACAGTTTGAAAAGGAACCGCCCTCAAGCTCTTGCAATTTGTTTAAATGAATGTGCGCGGCGCTAAGGCGAGAGCCACAATTTGAAAACGGCCCGCCCCCAATCCGTGAAACTGTTGCAACTGTTTTTAAAACGAATGTGCGCGGCGCTAAGGCGAGAGCCACATTTTGAAAACGGCCCGCCCTCATTCCGTGAAGCTCTTACAATTCTTTTAAACGAATGCGCGCGGCGCTAAGGCGAGAGCCACGTGTTGAAAACCACCCGCCCTCAGTATGTGAAGCTGTTGCCAATCGTTCAGAGTCAGAAGTGGTGTGGAAATCTCAGGCGAAACGCCAGGCCCGGCCTAAAAACTGGCCTCGGGGTGCGACAAAGAGAAATTACTTATAAGGGAACGGAATAGAGGAGAAGGAGGAGGAGAAGGAGGAGAAGGACGAGGAGGAGGAGGAGGAGTAAGAGGGAGGAGGAGGAGGAGGAGGCGGAGGAGGAGGAGGAGGAGGAGGAGGAGGAGGAGGAGGAGGAGGAGGAGGAGGAGGGGAGGAGGAGGAGGAGGAGGGGGAGGGGGGGGTGAGGAGGAGGAGGAGGAGGGGGAGGAGGAGGAGGGGGGGAGGAGGAGGAGGAGGAGGGGGAGGAGGAGCAGTAGAAAGTACGGCCACGGTGCCACTATAGCAAAAGCGCTAGGCAGGGAACGGAGGGTGCTTTCCTGGCCACGGCTGGCCTCGGCGGCGAGGGCTTTTACCCAGCCTGGCTCGAGTGAGCGGCCTGAAAAGCAGAGAGCCCCCCCTGAGCCCACAGCGACTCACATCCCCAAATCCCGACTGTACAGTCGGGGCGCTGACCTAAGGAACCCTGAATAAGGAACGGGCCCCCTTTTCCCCAGAAGTTGAGCTTCGACTTCCCCTCCGGAAGCCAAAGGAGAACCCAAGGCAAACTGTGAAGCAATCGAGGAACACGGAGCCCCTCCCCAACGAAAAGGGTTCCTTCTTCAGGGCCCCGACTGTATGCAGAGAGGGAGGGGTGGGGCGGCGGGCGAGGAATGGGAGCGCGAGGAGAGGAGATGGGATGGGGGTCATCCGCAGGGCCGGGGGGGGCGGAAGAGTGGTATAGGAAGAGCAGGGCGAGGAGCGAAGGGGAGACAGAGGAGGAGGAGGAGGAGGAGGAGGAGGAGGAGGAGGTGGAGGAGGAGGAGGAGGAGGAGGAGGACATCCAACCTCGTTCCCTGGCGGAGCCGCCGCGACGACCACGCAGGCGCCGCCGTCTGCCTGGCGTCGGCCGAGTGAAAGCTGGGCGCAAGGCGGACGGCGACACGGGGTGCGGTGAGGGAGCCCACGGGTGCGTGGCCGAAGTCGCTGGACAAGGGCAGGGCGGGGGCTTCCGCGGTGCGGACAGAAACGAGGACAAGCCCTGTCAGGCCTGAGCTGAATCAGATCGCGACATCAGGTCGGACCGAGCACGGATCGGATCGCCAACGAATCGTCCCGAATCGCATCGAAATCGGAACGCCGCGCCCTGCTCTGGCTGGCCCCCGCCGATGCCGGAGGATGAAACCGAATCCAATCGAATCGGAATCGCGGACCCAACTGGCGAATCGAATCGCATCCCATCGGATCGCGGGCGGCCCCGCTGTCCTGTTCCCCTCCGACGCCCCTTTCACGCGTCTCTACCTCGTTCATGACAGGTCCGTCCGCGTCGCGATTTGCCGCCGACAAAAGCCAATGTCCCCCCGCACGCACACACCCCACCATCCGTGTACCCATCGGTCGGAGGTGGGCAAGAACATGACTAGAAGGCGTTGAATGTGGATTGGATGTTCGCCCGCCTTGTAAAGAGGAAGGAAAAGGGGAAATTACTCGATTATTGAAGCATGAAGGCACCTGGGATGGAGAGGAACCAGGGAATCCAAAGATGCCTACTTTCAACGACCGCCGGGTAAACAACATGACAGTATATAATGCATGTGGCGGCAAACACCAAAACACGCGCGGGCGTCCCATCGTTATTTTGCAATGGCTGCTGTCAAAGACGGTGGGGGGCGAGCTTGAGAAGTTAACCCGACTTCTCATCTTGCTTGTCATCGTCCGTTCCTTCCCCTCCTCCTCCTCCTCCTCATCTTCCTCGTGCCGCATTTGGCGGTGTACTCCAGATTGGCTGCTGCAGCTTCACCGCCGTGATGGAGACCTGTGCATCGCCAGTGTCCGTGTTACTCAAGTGCTGCATCGGCGATGTGTCCACTCGTTCCCTTCCTCCTCCTCGTCCTCCTCCTCGTCCTCCTCCTCCTCCTCCTCCTCGTCCTCCTCCTCCTCCTCCTCCTCCTCCTCCTCCTCCTCCTCCTCACTCTCCTCCCCCAAGTCGCCCCCCGTCCTGCCCCCCTCCTTCCCTCCTTCCTCCTCCTCCTTCTCCTCCTCCTCCTGCTATTCCTCCTCCTTCTCCTCCTCCTCCTCCGCCTTCTCCAAACCCTCATCCTTCTCCTGCTCCGCTTCCTCTCCCTCCGGAGCACCCCATTGGCCCGCCCAGTTGCCTTGCCGATAAACATGCTGCCCCCCTGCCACGTCTCTGGGCTGTCGCAGTTGGCCCTGGCGGACCGGCGGCGGCAAACGTAGCAGCGTTGTCGAAAGCTCCGCGGGGGGGAGGAATGCAGGTGGGGGGGATGGGGAGGGAGGAGAGAGGCTGAGATGGACGGGGAGGGAGGTGGAGGTGGATGGGGAGGGGGAGGGAGACGGGGGAGGGGGAGGGATACGTAAATGTTATAATTCTCTCCACGTCCACTTCCAGGAGCACGACCTCTCTTCCTCGAAGGCAGAGAACATCTACGCGCCGGACTTGTTTGCCGCGGAGCCCGGCGCCGGCACCCTGCAGGCCTGCCTCCCTCGCGCACCCTGTCCCGCCGTGCCCGTGGGGCCGAACTGACGCGGAGCGACGACAGCGCGATGCGCAGAAAAAGGCAATGCCTCCAACACGCTTGATGGCCCATTTGTTCAGAAGGGGCGCCAGAAAAGGGGCGATGCGGGAGTTAGCGCGGGGGGGATGAGTGGGGGGGGCGCGGGAAGATTGGGATGTGAGGAGGCGTGGAGGAGGTTTTGGATTCCCTCCCGCTTCTGCTCGCCCTCCTGCTGTTCCTCCTGCTGCTCCTGCTGCTTCATGCTGCTCCTGGTGTTCCTGCTCCTCCTCGTGCTCCTGCTGCTGCTGCTGCTGCTGCTGCTGCTGCTGCTGCTGCTCCTCCTCCTCCTCCTCCTCCTCCTCCTCCTCTGGAGCCTTGGCGGGCGCAGTCCCTCCCCGCAGAACTGGCCCACAAACTTCTTGGATGTGGGGTCTATGCCCTGGCGCGTAGACTTCAAGGCCCCCGCCTTCCCCGTCCCTGCAGCATGCGGGCGTCGCAAAGCCACGTCCTTGAGCTGCCTCCTCGCGTGGCACCCGCATTGCATGCAAAATATCAACTCATTCACCTACAGCCTATGGGAATCGTGCGTCCTGGCCAGCACTCTTGGGGTACCAAGACACGCTCACTGTATTATCACGCCGCGCCGAGCCGCATCCGCACACTCGACACCCCTACCTCCCATCAGCGTTGTGAAGGACGTAGCCGCGATCTGAAACAGTGGGTTGGAGCACTGAGACGGGCTCTTCTCCTTGTGACTGGGGCTCCCTGGGGATCTTCTTGACCCTCGGGGGCCTATCTTCATTTGGAAAACCAGCTTTGCTAAGCTGCTTCAGAGATCCTGCCAGGAGCCTCGTGAACTGCCTGCCGAAATTCTGCGCTGCCTTAAGCAGCGGGTCGATCTGGGGAGCTCCTGGATGTTCCAAAGCTCCTTAACTCGCATATCTATCAGCCTTCAAGTTTCCAGGAAACCATGAGTCTGGGAAATCGTGGTTTCGAAGCCACGTCGTACTCTTGTGCGACGGCGTCCGCTGGAGATGCACGTTTTCTCTCCCGCGCGTCATCCAACTCCCGGAGAATACCTCCAGACTTCTCACTAAGGCTCCACAGCTCTACGCATAACATCTGGGCCCTTCTGGAGACCTACGATCAAGCTCTCGTGATCTCTCACGATCGTGGCCTTCGCCCCCACCGAGCACAGGGCCATGTAAAAAAGCGCAATGCTCAGCCGAGCCTGCGCGCTGAACTGGCCAAGGGACAAGGCCGCGCGCTACTGCTCACGCTTGCTCGCTGCCCTGCTCGAGAGAAACGACTGCCCAGCCTGCTCTCGTCATCCGCTCCACCCGCGGGCTGATGCTTGATCCGCCAACGCATATCTCATCACCTAGGCACCCGCGTCCCAGCAGGCCGCGAGGGGGGCGCTCGTGCTCAGGCAACGACGGAGGCATGGCGTCTCGCATGCTGTCAGTCACCCCATACTCGACTAGCTGATTGCCTCCGAACTCGCGACCGACCGACACGAGCTCCTCGCGCCCTTGGCCTCGACGCCGAGCCTTCAAGCCGTCGCATCCGTACAATCTGCGAGAAATGGTGCCGGCCGTCTGGCCGCGCCGTGTTCGTGCTGCGGAGGTCGCGCGTCGCTCTTTCAAACAGCTTCGACTGCGTCTACAGCCCTCCAGACGTGTGGATGGTCACTAGGTCCGCCGTGACGCCGTCGCCTTTAGCCTTGGGGACCTGCAACTGTCTTACTCGGGCCGAGGAAGGGAAGCCCCTGCCAGACCATGCGCCTAGTTGCCTGGGGCTCCCGCTGCCTCTCGAGACTGCCGTGCGCGAGCGCATCGAGGGACTCCGCGCTCATCTTCTCGAGATCCATGTCGAACCCGCGAGAATCCACCCGCTCCGTGAAGGACCTGACTTTCCACCCGAGACGCCTCAAAGTTTGCGCCGCTGCTCCCCCAGGGTCACTGACTGCGGCCCGCCCCAGACTCACCGTAGAGACCCCAGCTTCGACGATGGCCGTCACGACGCCCTTGAAGGCCCAGATGTCGCGGCACGCCTGGAGCCGCGCCGTGGTGGGGGGGAGTGTTTACCACAGACGACGGATCGAGGTCTGGCGGGTCCTGCGGGGGGTGCAGCACTGCCCTAGACCTGCCTCTAGCTTTGCCAAACATGGCGAAGCTAGCAACATTTCGAAGGTCAGAAAGGTCCGAGTCGTTCATTCATGTGGCTCTGACGCCGTAAGTAGCCGACGCCAAGCCGCCGGCGCTGACAACTCTGGGGGGCCAAGCCTGGTGGTGCCTCAGCGCTCGGAACCTGTGGGGCCTCCTACTGAGATTCTGGACACGGCCCCTTAGAACTCTCCTGCCTTCCCTGACCTGCTGGCCGAAATCGCGCCCCAGGTTCTTCGCGCTCGAGCACGCCTTGAAACTAAGATGTTTGAATTTCGCGCCATCGCCGTCCACCGGCGCGCTGGGCAACGCGGCAACCTGGCAATTCTTCCAGGGCGCTGCCAATTCCATCCTCTGGAGACGTTTGCAGAGTGCGGGAGTGCCGTCGATGACCAGTCCTCCACAAATGTGCGCGACATGCGCCGACAAAGACGCCCGACGAGATCTCATGAACACGAGCGAGTCATGCAACGCAGCCCGCAACGTGGTCGCAGCGAACGAACCGCCTGCGATGATCGAGCGCGTCCGCGTGATGACCCCCGATGCCGCCTCCCATATCTCGAGCGTCCTCGGCCCTCCGCACACTCGAATCAGCGCGCGCGCTCCGCGATGATAAAACTGGTGTTTCTGGCAGGCGGCCCACAGACAGCACGGCGGATCTTCTCGTGCGCTCTCCAAATCGAACGAGCCCGACGCCGAACCTGCTTCAATAGAATTAGCTGCCTCTGCCTGAGCCGCTTGCTGCCAGACTGACTGCTCGCAACTCTTCCCCTTGGAGCCGCGCGCGGAATCCAAGTAATTCTCTCGCTCCCACTGCTTGGCCAAGCTGCGCCTGGTGCGGCCGGGCAGTCTGACGCGCGTCGCTGGGAGAGCGATCGGCTGATAGCCGCCCTCTGGCCTCTACAAATGGCAGCCGGCGCCGGGTCCAACTGATCAGGGAGAACTAAAAATGACTCCACGGACAACAGAACTCAGCGTGCACAGCCAGACCTGCATCACTGAGCTGATTGAGGCTCGCAAGGTTCCAGCCGTCGATGCCGACAGCCTTGTCTCCTTGAACTTCGAATGGCCTCTCGAACCTCGGGCGCGGCGGGCGCCGGTGCGGGGCCCCCTCGCGGAACGTCGAGATCTCGGGCCCTCGACCTAGATGGCCCCCCCGCGTGCCAGATCTGCTCGCGCTCCTCCATGGGGGCCTCCGCAGCGTCCAAGGGCCCAGCGGGAGCTCCAACCAGACTGGGCCCGTCAGGGGCCCATACCTGGGGTTCCTTTGTCCACCTGAACACTCCTCCTCTTCCTTGCTTAAGATTGCGTGAAGCCCACTGCCTCCGCTGCTGAGTCCTCATGGCCTTTGCACTCAAGTCGACAGAATCAGCAGCGGCCCGGGCGGCCGTCGGAGCGCCCTGCAACTTCTCGCGGGAGATGTCGGCGCGCGACTGGAAGCGCTCCTTGAACTTCTTACACTCGGATATACCTTCAAGGTCCCTGATCGGGGCTGGGAGTTTCCGAGCCAGGTCCTGGGCCCCCTTCGACGCCCGCGGACGTTCCCGCCCATGGAGATGCGCCAGCTCCTCCAACCGCGCCTGGAACCTCCTGGGGGCCCTCTGGACCCCGGGCTGCATTTGGGGAAGGGGCCCTTGACGGGCTGCTCCCAAGTCGGCTTCTCTGCCACCTGGAACTCAGTGCCTCTCCCGCAATACTGAGAACGCCCATGGGCTTCGATGCCTAGCACGTCGCAGAGCTCCCGCTCCATGGCGTCGCACATCTCCCCATGCAACTGGGGTGGCCCGTCGCCCGGGGGCCGCAGTCGCAGCCGTTTAGAACGTGCGAGAAAGCTGAACCTTGCCCCTCGGCGGCGGCATGGGGCCCGCGCGGTTATCTAGGGGGGTGGTTTCGGCAGCTTCAAAGCTGGAAAATGCGTCTTGTTGCTGGACTCTTCGGGCCTTTACAAGCCTTCACTTCGCCTATGAAATCGTGAGATACTCTGAAATAGCCAAGTTCACGCCAAACTTCCCCCGCGCGACAAGTTGGCCCCCCAGGATTGACTATCGCGGCTCGGAGCCCCCCCGAGACAAGCAGCTTCTGGACCTCCGGCGGAACGCCATTGAAACCGGCAGGAATAGCGAAGGGCCTCTGGGCACTGAAGAGAAACTCCCCGAGCTGGTTGAGCCGCCGTTTAGACTTGCCGCCCCGGCCCCCCCTCGCCACCGGGAAATAAAGACAGCGCGCGTAAAGCCCGCCGCGCCCGCCCGTTCACCCGCGCGACGGTAGTGCGAGCATGGCGTAAATTACGCGCATCTCCCAAAACTGTTACACGCCCCTATGCGCTGCTTAACTGCGACGCCTACTCCTGCCGAGACGCCACCTTGTAATGCTCTGAGCGCGGGGCTCATACGAATCTTCTAATTTTTCAGCCGGCGACTTCTCAGACCGCGGAACATTCGGCGCGAGGGCTCGCGACTCCCGAGTGCCGACAAAGATCGACCGTCACCGAGGCCTGAGTCCCAGCTCAACCTGACGTGCCCGCCGTGAC